TCCTCAAGATTAATGGCATATAGACATCCTGCTATAATGTAAACTGGAAATAATCATAATTAGCATCACTGTGGTCATAGCTATTTTTTCCAGGTAGTGGAACAATCAGTGTACCAGTCAAGCTGCTCCTGACCATAGCAGCTACCTGATCTTCTAGGAGTAATTCCAGTCCAGAAGCATCCCCCAAGTTGTGAATCTGATCCTCCAGAGGTAGTGTCCTCACCTCATTCAAAATAGGCTATATCTCCATTCACAGATTAGTTTTTCTACTCCTGATTGGAGATTAACAAAACTTCTGTCTTGTCTAGGTTGACTCTCAGCTTGCTAACCCACATTCAGTCCATCACTGTTTCCAGGCAGCAATTCCTGACTTCCAAAGCATTCTTGGCATCAGCTGATACAGTGAAACAGAGCTGGGTATCATCAGCACAATGCTATCCCCCAACCCCTAAAGCTCCAGATGACACATCCCAGCAGTTTCAAAGAGATGTTAAACAGCACAGGGATAAAGTAGAGCCCTGAGGGAGTTCGGATGCCAGAAGCCATAGACTGTACAGTAGCGCCCCCCACCCGCCCCATCACCACATTCTGAAAGAATTCAGAAAGGTTAGATCAGAATCATTGCAGTACAGTGCTTCCAAGTTCAACATTTAACGAATGCCCCAGAAGGATATCATAGCACAAAATGCTGCTGAAAGGTCCAGAAAGTTAGTTTGGAAGGCACTGCCTTTGTCTGGTTCCCCATGTAGTATCCACCAAGGCTGTTTCAGTCACAAAATTGATCCTGAATCCTGATTAGAAAAGATCTAAATAATCAGCATCAATCAAGGAGACCTAGAATTTGAGTCACCATCAGTCCCTCTAGGACCATGCCAAGGAAAAGAATGCTGGAGACTGGTCAACAGTTGTAGGATCCAACAATGGTTGCAGTTGTTTCTCAGAAATGGCCTTAAACCAGTTTTCCTTAAAGGAATTAGAACACAACCTCCTCAAATGAACCGTTTACTACCCCCACTATCCATCTAAGCAGCTCCTCTCTGGTAGCTTTTACTAACTAGGATGTAAAGGGGTACAAAAATAAGTGGGTTGACCTCACTTCTCCAAACGTGATGAAACTCATCCATCAAAACTGAACAAGCAGCTGAATCATGACCTCCTCTGAATGTGGATTCCAAATCAGAACAGATGAGAGCAATTTTCTCAAGAAAGTGTTTTGCAACCATGACGGAGCAAGATGGTGAAAACTCCCTCACCACTCAGGGCCCGCAATGTAACAGTCCCTTTACATCTCAGAACACTGTGCTGGTCCAAAAGTTGCAGAAAATAAATACTTATTTGATGACATCAGCATCACAGAGTGGAACCTGAATAGGCTGTTGCCCATACTCAGTTTTCCTCCATTGATGCTCTAGTGGCCTTGTTTTAGGGAACCTGCAACAGGAGAGGGCACTTAAGAACAATTGAGTCAATTGCCCTGCTCATCTTCCTATTCAATAGCTCAGCCAAGGCTATGATAGAATCACTAGTTCTAATGATCAGAAATTCCAGTTCTAATGATCTCTCCATGACAATAGAATTCTCTACCCATGAACCACTATTATCCTACTCAAACAGGATACAGGAGTGAGAGTATGCCCTGCCACATGTGAGGGGCCAGACATTGAGAAAGACACATACATGGTTGCAAGAGATGTCATGAAATCCTGGCTGCTCCCACTGTGTGGGGGCTCAGCATTAATGTCGAAATCACACCATACAAATCAGTTTGGATGATGTCAACACCACCTCCGAGATGACTTTTCTCATCTTAGACAGGGAAAGCACTATGCATTGGGATGGGCAGAACACCAGAAGCATCTCAGTCCTGAGACAATGTCACCACACCAGGTGTATCCTCTGACATACAGGTATCTCAATAGCAGGAAGGATTCATGATAGATCACTTGTGACTTCCTCTCTCTGCCCATCAGGTATTGCCTGATGCCACCTTTAAAAATATGGTGGGCACAGTTAGTCAAGCTGACTCTCTCCTTAGCTCACATATGCCAGATCACTGTGTGGAGCAAGAATCTTATTTATTTATATCACACCTGGTTTTCCTTTCATGGAACTCAGGGTGGCTTTAATTCTCTTCCTCCTCTCCATCTTATCTTCACAACAACCCTGTGAGGTAGTTGCAGTGAGAATCTGTGACTGGCGCAAAGTCACCCAGTTGGCTCCATAGCTGATCTCCTCAGTCCCAGTCCTACACTGTTAACCACTGCACCACACTGGCTCTCTGTGAATCAAGGCATTCTTACCAGTTACTGCTCAGGCATCATGTTGCAGCACTTTATGACCCAATGGAATTCTGCTGGAGCATAACTGGACTGTAAAAGGAACAACCGCATATTTCGTCATCCTTCTCCATGGGTCTGTTCCAGCTCCCCCTTTCCCATTTAAACTGAAAAGGCAGCACCCTGTCTTCAGCTTCACCCAGATATGTGACTGCCCCAACTCAAAATAGCCAAAGCACCTTGTACGCAAATAAAAGCCTTCATTAACCAGGTACTCTCCAGAGGTTTTGGAGTTCAACTCCCACCCAACCAGCATGCTACTACAACAAGGCTGGGTCAAACCTGGGCGAGCTTGGTGACAGTTTGCTGGCCTCAGGCATATGCTGCACACAGTCCAATGCTCCTGCTTCCGGTTGCTATCAGGCCATCTTTTGCTATGGTGCTGAGAATCAGAACAGTCTCTTCTTTATAGCCTTTCCATCCAGGAGGAGGCTGTACTGTTAGCTAAGCCATTCCCTCATTGCTATCATCCGGGGTAAGAGCCACAGGGCAGCTGCCCTTCAGCTTGAGCCTCTGGCCCTGCAAGAACTCTGCAGAAGTTACTTACGACCCTCAGAAGAGCAGGCAGCTCTTTCCTCCTAGCGTTGTTCTTGCTTGTATATCAAGGTGTCACACCTCACTTGTCCTACTTGAGTGCTGCATTTCCTCTGAGATATCAAAAATTATTTAGAGAACCCAAGTGCAGCCCTGGGAAAGGCTCCCTGAAAACAGGGGTGCAGTTTAGAATAAAGTTTTCTCTGCCTCTCCTAATGCAAGAAAAAGGTCCTTCGCTTGTCCCATGTGTCAGGAAACTGTGAAAAGGCCTTCTCCGTGGCTGTTGCTTGACCTTGAAGCCCTGTATGAAGGGAAACTCATCTAGCTTTTGCACTGGCCTTCTACTGGCAGACAAACTGTTCAAACAAACAAACCGGTATTTCATGCAAAGCAAATTTGTTTTCTTTGCTCTGACTGTGTTAATATGTATTCTAATTAATGCTGTTTAGTGGCTGCCATTATTATATGCTTTTATGATTTAGATGGCCTTATGTTGTTTATTTGTTACATCAGCATGGCATGTTTGGTTTTTAGAAACCTCAATAAGAAACAACTGTCTGCTCTATGCTTTTGATGCTTTGCCATGCTTTCTCTGATTGTCTCAACCCAGCATCATGGTAGTGGTAGCTGCTGCAGGAGCTACTCCAGCCATCCAGCATGGGATTGAATTTCAGGTGTGGTAGCTGATACATTCCAACAGTGCGAGCACTGGGCAAGGAGGGTGGAAACCATGCTAGCATAGAAACCACTCTATCTTCCGTCAGGCACATCCATGCAAAAAACCATGCACCATGGAAAGCATGTAGGACTGTTTGTCATAATGTGTGAACCCCACTTTAGTATAATACGATAGTTCTTATTATACTTTAATGTCTTACTATTTTTCTAACTCCACCCCCACAACAATCCCAAATAAAAGAATATAGATCTCTTGTGGATTATCTTTGTATTTTCTGTATTTGTTTTGGTACATGGCATTAAGTTGTCTCCAGCTGGTGACAATCCTATGAATGAATACTCTCCAAAATATCCTGTCCTGCTCACTTCTTATAAACTCAAGGCCATGGTTTCCTTTATAGAACTGATCCATCCCACATTTTGCCTCCCTGTTCTTCTTCTGCCTGCTTTCCCTCATATTACCATCTTGTCCAGCAAGGCTTGCCTTTTCATGATGTGCCCAAAGTACAGTAATCTCAGTTTTGTCATTTTTTGCTTCCAGAGAAGGTTCTGGTTTGATTTGATCTCAGACCCATTTTGCCACCTTTTCCCATCCCTCCAAATTAAGCAAATATCAGTTTTTTAAAAATGAACTGGGAAGAGGCAGCATTGCAGGATCTTTAACAGTTGAAGTACAAGCAAGCAAGGCTGGTTAAAATCCAAGCAATCTGGTGGGCGTGGAATGATTAAATTGTGTTCCCTACATCCTCTTCCAAAGAGGCACAAAGCAAGTGCCCGTTAAAATCCTACGTATTAGCTTTTTGACAAGGAAGGGGAGAGGGGAGGGGTCTTGAATAGTGCCCCACCCCCTTGGGTTCTCCCCTGAACAGCTCCTTTCTGGAATGTTAGCATTTCTGAAAGAACTGGATGGATGGAGGCTGAGCTATGCTAGCAGTGCAGTGAGGTGCTGTGGAACAAGTGGTGCAGAGATCTGTCCTGCACCAGCTGTAGTGTAGACAACTCCTTTACACCAGCTGAGTCAACAGTGCCTTGCCAATTCACACATGAAAGGATGGCGTCATATTGTCACTCAGAAAGTCACCACCAATCAGGTTTTCAGAACCACAGTAGGACATGGAAAACACTACAACAAAGCACTGCGTGTTGTCTGTATTTTTGAATATTTGAGTGAGTAGAATATATCCATTCCAGAGGAAAAATATCCACCAGAGGTTTTGCCTTGATAAACCCTTGCAAAAATTAATCATTGCCATTAATTTCAGATTTACATCGTTGCTCAAACCCTTGCTGCCAGTCATTAGTATAGTCTAACTGCATGTATTGACTCAGTTCTGAATTCAGATTTTTCTTATGGCAGCTGGTTGGGGTCAAATTGGAGGAATTCTGTAGATGCTTGAGTATCAAAGTTAAAAGCCTTTTTTAGCTTCCTTCTCTTTTTGTTTTCTTTCTTAGTGTGGAAACGGTAAATGATGGGCAATTTCACAGTGTGGAGCTGGTTATGCTGAACCAGACCTTAAACCTGGTTGTAGATAAAGGTGCTCCCAAGAGCCTTGGCAAACTGCAGAAACAGCCTGTGGTTGGTCAAGACACTCCTCTCTACATCGGAGGTGAGTTTAGCTTTCTGCAGGATTGTCAGAACCTGTAATACGTAGCATGCATTTTTCTAACTGGTAAACTGGTAACTTATTTGCTACAAAGCCAAATCTTAGTAGAATTACACAGTTGTACATTTCTGCTATGCTACAAGTAAACAGTGGCAGCACAAAATGCCAGTGATGGAAATGAACTTTAATTGGACAAGGGATTACTAAAAACTAAACCAGAATGAGAAAGATGCTCATCTTGTAACTCAGTGACTTTTGTGCTATGATTGACAAATGGAAGAGTTAAAAAGTCAAAGGATGGTACAAGGACAGGTAAAGTGATACGGGATGCCCTTCCACAGAGATGTTTGCACTGTTCAGAGATTGGTTATCCATACTGTACATCTTGTGAGGTTGATTAACTGCCAAGACCTTGCCATAACAGCTAGTGAGCTGAGCAGTGTTTTGAGCCTGAGTTTCTAAAGTCCAAACATAACACTCTGGCCATTGCAATTTTACTTTATTGTTGTTAAGGTATGCATTTCTGTGTGTTGGGAAATCTAATCCCCATAAATCGCTTTGCTTTAAAGTATGACCTAAATGTCCACAATGGACTTAGAATGGTATAGAAAACCTTGACCCCAGTCATACTGTTCATCAGGAACCTCGGCCGGTGCTTGTTTTAATTTTGTCCCCTCAACGTACCATAGCATTACATTTGTGTGGACCATTTTGGAGGTCCTAAAGTGTTACCTGACGTATTTCATTACTTCCTTTGCAGGCATTCCTACCTCCACAGGGCTATCTTCCTTGCGTCAGGGTACAGAGAGGACACCCAGCGGTTTCCATGGATGCATTCATGATGTCCGCATTAATAATGAACTGCAGGACTTCAAGGATCTACCACTTCAGTCAGTAGGGGTCCTTCCTGGCTGCAAGTCCTGTAACATCTGCAAGCATGGCATCTGCCGCTCTCTTGAGAAGACCAGTGTTGTCTGCGAGTGCCACCCAGGCTGGGCCGGCTCATTATGTGACCAAGAAGTGAGAGACCCCTGCCTCAATAGCAAGTAGGTTTTTTGAAGTGTCGAATGGGAAACAGCAGAGAAAATTCCTCAGTTGATGAGGATTGTTTATTAGAAGGATTCACTAGAATTGTTGTTGCTGTTATATGTGAGCTTCCGCTGCCTTTCACCTTGGCATATTGTTATTGAAAATAGGTCAGGTTTGAGGGTGTATTTGAATTCTCCAAACCAGACGTTCCGAATATGCTTCATAATAACTGTTGCTCTTCATGTGGGCTTCTCAATCTCCTTACTGTGAAGCTCTGCCTTATTTTTCACAAGTTAGACATAGGAGAGAAAGCAAATGAATCCTTTGGATAGGTTACATTTCTGTCAACCCTGTGTTCAGTCTGAAAACTGCAGATTGGCTCTTTCTCCTTCCTTCTTCTTTCCTCTAAGATGCCTCCATGGCAAATGCATCGCCACCAGCTCTGCTTACACTTGCAAGTGTGTAGAAGGTTACGTGGGCACGTACTGCGACCGGAAGAATGAGTCTTCCAGCTCCTGCAGAGTTTTGAAATGCATCCACGGGCAGTGTAAGATCTCCGCGCAAGGCGAGCCGTATTGCGACTGTGATCCCAGCTACAGCGGAGAGCACTGTGACAGAGGTTGGTGCAGCTGCTGTGTGTGCGTGTGCCTGGAGCTCTGCTCTGCCTGGCCTGCTCACCCATCAAAGCAGCCCAAGCTACTGGAGGGTTCTGCAGATGGCTCTTCATGCCAGGGACAACCTCTCTGTGGATAACGGCACAATATGTCACGTGGGAAAGCTAGAAAGGTGTTGGGTTTTTTAGGGGGTAGTTGGCCCAGCAACTGGCCTTTTAGGATCTCTGTGACACCAAAGCAAGTAAAGAGCCCCTTCAAATGGCAGGGGGGGAGCTGTGTGATTAAGGGAGCAATTCCATGGCCTCCCCTGCCTGAGGGAACCGCTCAGATTCTAGTTCTGACACCCTGTTCTCTTGGTGCTGGGACTGCAGAGGTCAAGGCTGGGCCATGTCCCTTGCAGCCAGCATGGAAGAAACTGCCCTGGCTGCCTCTCTGAAGTCCCAGAATGGCCTGGTGGAAAAGAGGGTGCTGGAGGGCAGGAGGGAAGGAAGCTGGGGTTGGTGGCTTATGCCAGATCCAAAGGGTGCCCAGCCACCTTCCTCCTTCCTCCATACCACTGCATCTAGCCAGCTGAAAAAGCCTTGTTGAGAATGAAAGAGGCAGTTGTTCTTGTCTTGCATTTCAGGCCAGGGTGGCACCAACTCTTTGGATGAGGATGGTGAAGCCTGGGAAACAAGGGCTACAGACAAAGAGATGGTGGAGGAAAAAGAGCTTATCTCAAGGCCTCCATCTCCAGGTGTTCAACAGCAAGTATGTCAGGGGCGTGGTACAGAGGAGCATGGTCTGATCCTTGACCCCGTCACGCAGCATAGGGAGAGAAGGGCAAGCCAATTAGAGGCCCTGCGTAGATCTAGAAGGCTAGCCCAGGATTACTGAAAAGGAGGACTGCCAGAAATAATTTCTAGTTTGGGTTCAACAGACTTGTCCTTTGTTGGTTTAAGCTTGCTGGATGTACGTTGGAATAAAGAGCTTTGGCCAAAGAACTGCCTGCTGTTCAGTAGAGTGGAGGAGGGAACCTGGCGCCCAGGAGTGCTGTCCTTCACACCATGCCTTGGATGCATATGAGCCTCCAGGTTTGATGCCCTGTGGGCATCAAGCTGAGGGTGATACAGTTGTGTCCTATTCCCATTACATAAGGTAGCCACTTCATAACGTATAGAAATGTTGAGCTATGCTTATCCAAAACGGAGGAGGGAGAGACAGGGAAACAACCATGATCCTGGTTTCCATCATCAGAGCAGGCAGAGCAGTTCTCTAATCCTGCTCTCCTGACAAACCCTAACATCAATATAATAGGCAAGAACCCAACAGTAGAAAAGGAGGTTGTGAAGAAGAGCCCTTTCAGTAGGATAATGTGGCAACGTCAGCTGGCACAACCTTAGCATCTGCGGGCACTTGATCACTACATACTCTTCCCAGCATTGTGCTCCAACTGTGTAATATCACAACATCCATTCATAGGCGAAGAAATCAATACATCCTACTGCATCACTCATACAAAACAAAATCTCACAGCCCCAAAGGCACCAAAGTATTGCCCTCGTGGCAAGCAGGTGGTGTGGGGCACCATGCAGTGTTTTTATGCTGGGGCACATAAAAACATATGATGGTTGTTTTTATTAGACTTATATACCACCCAGTGGTAAAAGCCCTTGGGAAGTTTGCAATAAAAACAACAACAACAAAAACAGGAAATTAACAGGAAAACTCCAGCAACAGTAAACGTGTCAAAATAACACAATATTAAACATTTTAAAGATTAAAGACACCGGGAGCCAGCAGTAACATTAATAATCAAGGCAAAGATTAATGGTTAAATGCTGGTTTAAAGAGCAGGGTCTCAACCTGGTTTGTAACTGTATACAACGAAAACACCAGGCAGATGTCCTTAGGAAGAAAATTCTACGGAGAAGAGAGGGTCACTTCAGGAAAAATTTTTTCCCTTATAGCCACTTATCGCACCAATATGAATAGAGCTACCCAGAAAAGACCCTCCAAAAGCATTCTTAAAAATTGGGCAAGAGCATATGAAAGCAGGTGCTCCTTCAGGTAAACTGGTTGCTCATAGCTCTAAAGGTCACCCTAACGCTGTGAATCCTGGCCGGAAAGTTGGAACTGCTCTGGCATAGTATGTTCAAGACAGCCAATCCCACTGCAACTGACTGTGACAGCCACACACTCCAGGGCTTCCTGAACGCAGGGATTTGACTCCATTGTACCATCAGGAACCCTAAGAACCTCATAAATGTGATTCAACTATCAAGGCCCTCCAGTTCCTTGGCTCCCATAGAGTGGAAATACGCAAAAATCCTTGAACATCAGGTTCTCAAGGAGAAGGTTTTATGTATTTCCAGAGGAACAGTGCTCCCACAGAGAAAGTGTGAACAGTGCATTAGTCTCCATTTTGAAGCAAGCGAGCGAGCATCGTGCCATATGCACAAGGAAGAGTGCAAGCACAGTAGACAACTCACCATCTCCCCTCTCCCAGAAACTTGGCTACCACTGCATGAGCTCACCTTTTGGCTGCCTGGCCAGCAAAAATGAAGTGAAGAAGTCAGACTGGAACCCATGTGTCCCGCTCCACTGGGTATTTCATTTGGAGCTGAAATTATGTGGAAAACACAGTTCTGGTATATACTCGTACATGAGAGCTCAGGCTCGAAGCCTGGATGCAGTGCTGCACTAGAAAAGCCAGGGGGAAGCTGCTGCACACATCACGACTGAGTCCAAAGGGAGGATGTATCGATCCCATCTGCCAGTTTCTATAGCCCCTTGCATCATACTTAGCAACACAGCCTTCCATTCATTGTTCATTCAGCTGATTCTCAGTGTTGAATGCCTATTTCCCCATTTGCCTTGTCCACACTTCTCCAACAAGGAGAGGGAAGCAGGAGAGAGAGGTGCTGGAGCCCAATGTCTTGGTACTCCAGTGGCATGGTGCAAGGCCCTCAAATCTACCATGATGTGCTAGAAGCAGGATGTGAGGCTTTGAAGAATGGGTGACCATTCATTCATCCATTTATAGCTTTTCTATCCTGTCCTCTTCAGAACATCTTGGGACGGCTTACAATAAATCCATAGAACAGAACAGCCCCACAGCATCTGACCATAATATATTAAAACCCCAATTAAAGCCAATTAAACATTAAAATAATGGGAAAATAAAGGGGGGGCTGCCTGATGCTGGAAAGAATATGACATCGGTGCCAGGTGAACCTCTCTGGGGAGCATATTCCATAGTTGGGGTGCCACCACAGAGAAGGCCCTCCCCCGGGTACTCTTCCCTCCTAATCTCCTTCAAGGAGGGCTCCCAGAGTTGGGTTCTTGACTTTTCTCTTTTATGTCTGCTAGATGTATACCTGCAGGCAAAACTGCAGTAGTGTTTCCTTAACCTCCACTGAATGCTTAGAAAACCTAAGCATATTATCAATCATCTTTGTCATCCCATAAGGGAAGAACCACATTCTCAGTGGTCACTGCTGCTATTGGTTGTGCACCTGCATTGAACTGGGGACGGGGAAGATGCTTCTCTTCTCCACTGCAGTGCAGAGGCAGGTTGGGGAGTGGCCCAGCAAGGCCAGAGCTCTACAACTTTTATTTGGAGCCCCAAATCTCTGGCAGGCCATCTGTCTGCCACCCTGTTGTCCATGGGCATTGGCTGGAAAAAAGCTGCAGGATCAGATGATCCCACTGGATCTGGTGCATCTGAGCCCACTGGATTCTTTGGCTTTTTGCCCACATGCATTTCCCCTTCTTCCCCCACCCCCCGCTTTAAATCTTTCTTCCTGAGAATTTCCCCCCCGTAATCAAATGCCCTTCTTTCTCCTGTCCATACATCCACTTTTTACAAATAGGGATATCCTTAGGAGGCAGGGTCTTTTAAAAACATGTGTGCATGCACACATGTGCGCGCACGCACACACACAGAGTCACTTTATGGCACATGCAAATTGGCATGTCCAAATGTGTCAGTTTTTCTCTTTTTGATCCTGTGGGCCTGAGCCTTGGATCTTTTTAGTATCTAGCACTACTCCTGTCGCATTGTCTCTGGAAAGACAGCAGGAGCTAAGGTCAGCTGCCACAGCCGAGAAATTGTGTGCCAAAACAGAGGTGCGCCCATAAGTTACTGGAAGGGATAGCAGCCATCTGCACACACTTCCACTTTCATGCCAAACACCTGCTCTCCCACTGGTGGTGTACCAGACGCAGGGCCAGGCCAAAACATCTTGCTGCCAGAGGTGAACAACAAGATGGCACCCCTCTGCCATCTTAAGTGCAAAAGCCAACCAGAGGGGTTATTGAATCTTTCCCTGCTCCCCTCTCTCAGTGTCTGCCAACTGAGGCAGCTGCCTCATTCGACCTTATCAGACTGGCCCGTATCAGAGGCCCACGTTCAGTGGTTCCTGGGTTGGAGGTATGCAGCATAGCCAATAAAGCAATATTTGTTCATCCCCTATAAGAAATTGCACTATATAGCTGTGCCCCAGTACTGTGTGGCCTGCTCTTTTTGCCTTTTTTCTTACACTTTAAAAAAATGAAGTCGAGGTTATTCGATTAGCAACTTGAACAGGTGGAGTGGATACTTGTCTGCAAAAGTGGCATTCCTTTGCCTTCACAGGAATATTATGGGTACTTCTCCTCATTTAAGAGTCCCTGAAGAGCAGCATCTCCCTTTCTATAAAGCGTGTTCTTAGCTGTGTAGTATGCTATACTAGTACAGGTTGATGGGATGGGAATTGTTTAGTCAGGCTTCCCATATTGCAAGGGAGTGGTCAGGAAATAAAATGTGAGTACAAGATTCATACTTGCAGGTGTGCATTTCCCCTCCCAAGTACTCTCGCTTACCTCTTCGGGATGCTTGTCCTCACATCCACAGTCACAGCAGTGGAGCTGAAGTTTCGTTGGTTATGCCTGTCTGAAAGTGGAACATGGGTGCTCTAAGAGGACAAGTTAGCAATTTACCCTTGCTGTGCTGTTGGAGGGTTGGGAGGCTGCTTTTGCCAGTGTTCCTCTTACCAAAGTGATCCGTTCTGTGCCTAAGTTAGTAGACACAGGGACCATTTGGACAGGCCTAAGCCGCCTGTTGTGCTGTAACTGGCTAAGGGACCGTGTTCTCCATTACAGCAGTGTGGCACAGCTTGAGGTGGGACGGCAGTTGCTTGTGGGCTCTTCACTGACTTCATCTGAAGTGTTTTGTCACATTCGCTCTGTTGCTGGTCTAATCTTATGCCAGTTCAGGGGCGGGGCAGGACCCTTCTTACCTACCGCATGCCCAGCTTCTCCAATTTGGCCTTTGCACAAACGATATGATAACACTGCAGTTATCGCTTAGCCAGGATAACTTTACAGCAGAGTTCCGCCTATATAACACCACCATAGGTCTTTTTCCAACATCTCTTCAAGTAGCAATTCTGTTTTGTCCAGCCAGCATAAATCAAGGATGGGGTTACAGCATGAATTCATATTCTTGATGTCCAGCCTTTGATCAAGCAAGCGATGCTCTTTCTTATGTCTTAATAGAAAATCTGTGCCAAGGAGAGATCATTCGTGAATTTATTCGGAAGCAACAAGGTTCCATATCGTGTGTCTCCATGGTCAAGGTACCTCGCGTGGAATGTCATGGCAGCTGTGGAAACCATCAGTGTTGCACTGCGCTCCGGAGCAAGCGGCGGAAATACGGCTTCCAGTGTGTGGATGGCTCCTCCTTCACAGAAGAGCTGGAGAGGCACGTGGAATGTGGCTGTGCGAAGTGTTTATAAACGGCTGGCCAGCCTCTTTGCCCCTTGGTATTAACTCAGATGTGCTTTCAAAAATGGGACTGACTTACTTTTAAGTGAAGAAGAGAATATTAAGTATATTGTAAAATAAGCAAAAAATAGAAGTTATTTTTATTATGAAAAGTGACTATTTTCATCTTTTATTATATAAAGTATCTGACCATTTGGGGTATATGTATCATATAGTGAGTTATTTTTACTATGGATTTTTTTACAGTTGTAAAAAAAGTAAAACTCCAAGCCTAAATACAGTGATTAAAAACAGAATATAGTCCATAATAAGCTTTGCACGATGGCCAGATGTGAAGGTAATTTGAAGGGTTTGCCACAGAAGAAGTGAAACAAGTCTTGAAAGGTTCTGGGTAGATGCACATCTAAGAACTATAGCTCTCAGCCATTTTTCATCTCAAGACATGCTCAGATAATATTCCTCTCAACTGATGATTAAACCGTTAGTTGCATTTCTCACTGCTGTGGATCTGCCAGAAAAGCATGTCACAACGCTGCCATAGCTTGGGCTTTATGCACAGATGTTATTATGCACATATTAATGCAATGGTAGTAGTAATATGTTTGTGTTCTATGTATGATTGATTTCATGGTATTGTGTTCATAATCTATTATGTTAAATTGGCTGTCTGACACGGTAGTTCTTGGAAATGGCATATTAGGGGAACGCTTTGCTTAGGAAGCTGTGTGCATTTTTAATGGATAGAACGAAAGCACTATGTAACTCTTAATGACAGAGGGGAAAATCCACTTACTTGGCACATCCATCCCTGCCTTTCCAGCATGTGGGCTACCACTCCCTCCTGCTGACCCTTTTTGGCTCCCGTTCTACATGTGCGGAGCATTACATGCATTTTCTCAAGCAAGGGAAGGACCAGAAGGCGTTCTCCTGTGGTCGAAAGCTCCTCACTTGACCCCTGCACCGGCAGCTGATTCACATGGCAGCATTTAGCATTTCTTACCTTGCAGATGGTCCCCACACGATGGCCAGCACTTTCTGGTGAGTGCTGACCGTGGCATGGGAAGTGTCCCTACAGCAGCTGTGGCTCATATGGTACGTCCCTCTACAGGTGACAGCCGCCACATGGCGCAGCCAATGACAGAGGGGCTCTTCCGTGCAGTTTCCACAAGAGTAGGCACAATGTATTCAGATTAGGGCTCTCACCCAAGGAAAGTTCCACCTTTTGACCACCGTAAATGCCTTTGATATTTTGTACAAACAAACCTGGCTCATTCTCTCAGGTCCCTTCTCTTTCATATGCTTTACTTGAATAGGTAGTGGTTGTAGTAGGATGGACTCCAGCTCTAAGGAGCCTTTGACGATGGAAAATTGGATGATCAGAAGTGCCAGAGAGAGGAGGGAGGGAGGGAGGAGGTGGCTCTCCACATTCCTATTTCGTCCTGAAACACCAGCAAACTCTCCCAGATGTGGGATCAAGGCCTTTACAGTAGGGGATAGCCATGCTTGTGGGGCACAAAGGATGAATATGTTTACCTTTTAAAAACAGCCATGAGTGTGAACCCCACTAATAGCCAGCAGTACAGCCTCTCCACAAAGGACAGATTTTGATCACGCTACGAGCATTCCTGTCCCCCCACCCCAGCCCTTTTCATGTTTCAGGAGTCTGAAAATACTTAAGTGACTTTATTCTAATTACAGTCTTCTGAAAGCCACGATAGTTTGTTCAGATTTCCTTATGGATTCTCAGGATGATTTCAGACAGAAGGGAGCTGACTGATACAATAGCTGCCTTTCAGAATAAATAGTAATACATGGAGCCTGCAATCAGTGTAACGTAAAACAATCACTGGTTACTTTGCCAAAACCTGATTGAAATAATACAGGGAAGAAAAGGGCCACTATGGAGGGTGGATTTGTTATTTTGAGCACAATGTGTGATGCAGAAGCAGCTGGAATTTATAATGTAGAAATGTACCACAATCTGTAATGACCAAAAGTTTGCAGAAGCAAATGCAACACCGGTCTCTGGTGTGAATGAGATTTTGGCACAAGCATATTTTTCCTAATGATTTATTATTTGCCAGGGCATCTGTTCCCCAAGAAGCTATTGCCTGTGTTGCACAGAACAGCAATCCAGCCAGAATAGGAAGGTCATCGAGCTGTAATGCTACTAAAGGCTCTGCACTGCCAAAAGGAATACAATAAAAGCTGAATTAAGGCCATGGCAGAGTAAAGTAGGTGCAATCTCCATATTGCCCTTTGTCTCCTTTTACTATAACATCTTACTAGACGAGGCAAGAAAGCCATTAATATTTTGTGAAGCACAAATGTTTCCAATCTGCCAGGCTGAGTAAGAGCTAGTCACAGCAGAGGACAATTAGCTATGTTCCATCAATACAAAAGCTGATTATATGATGACTTAGAAGAAAAGACACTTGGTTGTATTTTGTTTTACCATTAGGCAATTCACCCTGTGCTGTGTTTCAACTGATGAGATATGAAATTTGAACTATGGTTTGTTTCATTTTGTTTTGAAGTGCCAAAAAGTCTATGAAGTTAGTTATGAAATGTTAAGTAGATCTTTCTTAAACGGCCTAAGTGACAGTATGTTCCAGTTATTGTAAATGGAATGCAGTAGCACATTTAAAAAAAATTAATATAAAGAAAGATGCTAACCCTATAAAAATTGTACATTGGCAATGTGGATTGGTATGAATTTTGTGTATTTTACTACATTGTCCTATTGTGATGTAATAAATTTAAGTAATTGTTGGGTTACAGATAACCGTACCTTGTCCTGTGTCGCTGTGGAAGTTTTGCATCATTTGGGCACATTTCTGTTGGCTCCTCTCAACTGTGCTCATTCCAGACATGTTCGAAGCAGATGCCAGCCACCTGGGCTAAGAATCTATATTCTGTAGGGACATTTGGTGTCCCCAAAGGCTGACTGGCAGGATCAACTGACCTGATAACTTCAGGTAATGTGCCAGTTTCAAATCACATGCACGTGAATCGTAACCGGAAAAAAATGAGCTATATAAATAGGTGGAGAAAAAGTCCAACTACGAAACTAGATGGTACATAGAGCTGTGATGAAGTCCTTCACAACAGGATTGAGGATAAACATTATATTTGGTGGAGTTAACCTTTGACATTTGCCTTAGGACACCCAGAGCCTTCCTTCCAAAATGGGTGAGTTTCAATTCTGTGTTTTTCTAGCTTTCTAGAAACATCAAGAAGCTGAAACTTCCTTACTTCAGAAGACGACATTCAGTAAAAGGTAAGCACTGAACTATGATTTGACATGCTATGCCTTTATCTGCAGGGTGGGTGGGTGGGTGGGTGGGTGTGTGTGTGTGTGTGTGTGTGTGTGTGTTTTAAGTGGATGGCCCACCAATTGGTATCAACTTGCCATCTTAGTTTGTGTATGTGGGGGCGGGGGGGTAAATGTGGCTGGCTGGCTTGAACTGGGGAGTAATCAGCCTTTCTATGATTCAGATTAAGGTGCCTGCATCAGAACATGGAAAATATGAGCAAAAGTTGGAAGTAATGAGAATATTTTGCTCAAATGAGAGATGGTTTTGCTTAGAGAAGGCTAAGCCATAATATGATAACACCAGAGATGTTTGAGCAAAAGCTGGACAGCCATCTGCCTAGGGTTCTCTAGTTCTGGATTTCCTTTATCTAGCAAGACTTTGGAATAGAAGGCCTACACGGCCCCTTCCAACTCTATAATTCTATAAATTGCAAACACATATTTAAATAATGCACTATTTTATGGACCTTTCTAGTGTTGTAATGTTTTCTTTCATGCAATCCTAGAAAAGTTTTGATATTTTCCATGACCTTACAGTGGACGTTAAGTTGATCTTCTTCATTTATTGAAACATTTAGTGTTTTTATTTATGTGATAGCATTCTGGATATTTTGGGATGCTGCTACTGGTATGTAAATACAATTGCAACCTGATCTCCTGCACACTATCTAGGGGAAAGAAGTCCTACTACTTCCAATTGAAATTACTCTCAAAGAAATGCACATAGGTAAACTATGTCTGAGGAAACAAAGCCTTTTTATTTTGCCACTACACAGTAAAGCTCAACAGTATTACCTTTTGAGTTATCACATAAACATGATTAAAAGTAAGGACAACTCGTCATCATGGAGCCAACCCATTTTCATAATGGCAAGATATAGCAGATAATCTACTGGAAAACTTAATTCCAAAATAAGAAATAGCCTTGGAAATACTGTGTCTTGTGCCCTTTGGTCCTAGAAGGAAAATATTGTAAGGGTCTGTAACAGATCATACCATTTTGGGTGCCATCCAGGTGGGCACCTGCAACCCTCCGAAGTTGGAGGATCCTAGGCATCCTATGCAATGTGCAGTGCCTCAGAGCTGGAGGGAAGGCGGCTGAGGCCGTGCAAGGATGCGCTGCAGTGGCCTGCGCCCCCCCACCCCCCACGTCCTTCCCTGGCAACTAAAAGCCTGTCCAGAAGTCCCTCTTCTGAGACAGTGCTGGCCAGTTGTTTCTGCACTGGCTGCAAAGGAGAATCCAAACACATGTTCCAACATTGTAGTTGGAATCGAAGCAATTCTATAGCCATCTAGATAGTGTCTAGCAGTCATGTGTCATAGATTTTGTTACTAACACAACAAAACTATCAGATAACTTAATGAAAACAAGGCTGGCATCAAACAGTTCCAAGAACTGCCTCATGCAAATTCTGCTTGTTTGAGTTTTTTCCTCCCTAACCAAAACCACATGTAATATTCTGATTATGTTTTCTCATACAGATGTTCATTTTTCACTGAAATAAACAGAGTGTAATATTAATGAATGGTCAAAGTTTCAAGGAAGTGACAGGTGCTTTGTTTATTTCACAGAAAAGAGATGGCTCATTTTCACCCACGTCTGTTGCTCTTGTTGAAAATTGTTCTGCTCATCCATTGTTTTCCAACAGCTAATAACTGGCAAGCAGTTTGTTTTTTATGTTAATTTTGAATACAGCTAATTTTTATCAAAATGTGTAAATGGAATTGCAACATACTAAAAATTCTCGCAGGCATTCTGTGTATTACAAGCCGAGCTAATACAGTTTGCAGCCAAACTCAGCAACAACACACTAATTAAATATTTAATCAGAACAACAGAAACAAACCAATTACTTTTATGGAAGGGAAAAGATCTGGAACACTTCATTTTACCCCTAAAGCATGCCATGTCAGCCTATGAATTATTTAAGCACAAGTGCGGATGTGGCTAACAGCACATTCCTATGAATGTCCCGTGGACTTCTGTGTATTTTACTTTCTGGTGTATTTGGGACTATGGCAAGTAATTTAGGATTAAGTGGCTTTGCTTGCTACACGGAAAAATAGGGTAAAATCCACACTGGTGACATTTACTTAGATTTCTATTACACCTTCTCTATCCTAAAAATTTACAATAACTTGGTATTCAGCTTACTTCTCAATGATCATCTTTCTACATATTTACAAATAGGCACCTAATGATGTGTAAAGAATTGTCTTTCCCAAACTCATGGACTGTGTGACATATTCCTGTGAACAGCATGGGTGAAACGATGCTTACCAACATTACTGTAAGAGGGCTGAATTTTTTGCTGACATACTTGCAAAGAATCGACATTGGGAAGCAATGTCTCTAAATGTGACTATAGTGAGATGTTACTTTCTTGGTTCTGCTCCATCCATGGCATGGGTTACATGCATGCCAGGTTTTCCTCTTCCTGTGCCAGCTTTTCTTATTATTTCCTGAATCAGGTCAAGAATGGAGTGAATTCTAAGACTCGGCATTAGCTAACACGAAAGCATGAGATCTGGCTCATATACAAGTCTAGTTTGCGAGGGAGAATTCCATGAAAGTGATTTCTCCCTTTAGCAGAAAATGTGTGTGGAAAGCATTTTAATCAAAATCATGCCTCCATGAGATCAAAAACCATTTACAACAAATCTGGCATGTTCAGCAAGGTTTGCTCTGCTAGTTAAGAGGAGACACATACTAATATCTTATTGGGAGGAAATGGAACTCCATTCTGTGTTTAAGTTTACTCAAGTAAGTAGGTTTACTAAAGCCTGCATGCTAGCAGCTGCAAGGGAGAGAACGGAAGCTCACAGAGTATCACTTGAAAACCACAAATGCCTCTGCTCCACTCCCAAAGAGATGAACTTTAGTTCCTCAGAGAGAAATAGAAACCTACCCAATTATTTTGTATGTAAATGACAACTATCACAGATACTCCAATTAACACACAATTCTCTTATCTCCTTGCTTTGATGCTGATTTACAACAGGCATGGACCCCATCTTGTTTCAAATAAAATGTGAGATCTAGCCAATGCAGACTAAATCATGGGTTATCACAGATAGGTGTGATTTACCACATCCTTCTCAACACATACACATGATCTACTTCACCAACATATTTAGTCGATTAAAAATATATTCAAGGTCTGAATATTTCCTGCTTCTACACTATGTAGGAATGGGCAGCTCCACAGTTCTTACGAGTGGCATAATAAGCAGTTCTTATTGATCATTCAGGAAAACTAAAGACCGAATGCCAACAGATTGAGAAGCTGTTCAGTCTTAATTTTCATATGTATATGTCTATGGGGTAGTATAGACATGAAATTAAATAAATATCTTCCCCTAATAACATTATTTCTTACAGCTTTTCCATGGTTCAGAATGAATATTTGGGGAATGCTTGTGGTACCTGCATATTTTCAGCTTGTAGATACTGCAACAGGAAGAAAGCAGCAAGAAATTAAAAGCCAGAGTATTCACAATTATTTAATTCTGACCCCAGTTCAAGGTGCTGGTGCAAAGCCCAAACTGCTTGGACCCAAATACTTCAGTGTGTATCCCTCCCTTTATCAGAGATGGGAAACATGCTCTTTCCAGCTGCACTGCAATACCAGTCACTACCCACCATTGACTGACTGGAGCTGATGGAATTCACACTCCAACATCTGGGGCCATGTATTCTGTTCCTGTGTTCCCATGTCTGAAGCTCCAGAGGATCCTTTCCAGGTTTCTTTCCAAAATCTCAAGGTTCCTTTGATACTGTAGTAACGAGACAGAGGACCTTCTATGTAATGGTACCATTTCTTTACAATGCCCTTCTCACTGAATCTTGACTGGTGGCAATTCTCTTTTTTTTCAGCACCAATTTTGTTTAGAAACCAAACTTACTTGTTTATCCAAATGGTTTAAACTATGTTTTTAGTTTGAACACAGCCTGCTGTGCTTTTTTTACAG